TATATAAATATATATATATATATTTTCGTGATCTGGAGAACGTCGCCTTTCCAATGACACACATTTTATCCTCGAAATCCGGGGATACTATTCTAAATTTTACCCCCGTTCACTCCTTTGAACCCCGAAATAGGGGGATGCTATTCTAAATTTCAGTCTTACTGACTATCAAAGAACATACCCTTTTCCACTGGTCTATTGAGGCTTGCCAAGTGTCGTAACACACATTAGAATCGGGCGGAACTAGCACCCTCAAATGTTGTATTTTACGTTTGCATACTAATCCCGCATTTAATTCATCCAGTAAGCTTTCCCCTGCTTTCCGTTTTAATATTTGTATGCGCTCGACCACATTTCCTACCAATGCACCGATTTCATCCACTGTTGGTAAGATTTTAGTTTTTGTTATAAGGTTTTCAACATCCCTCGAAGAATGCTGTATTTGGTCCAATTCACGATCAAGATTTTTTTGCGCGACTCGAAATTTTTTGTTTAAAACTTCATAAGGAACTTTGAGCGTTGAATGTTCCATTGATTTAATCTCAGCCATTATGTTCGTACAATCTATAAACACCAAATGTTTTCATTTCTTCTCAACTAATAACGTCCTGCCTCTGCTGGCAATAATTATTACTAGATATATCGACAGTAACTTGGCTCTGTAATTCTACATGCAATAAATATTGCGAAACAGATCCGTATCTACGAATATTTAAGTCCGTTTTTCTATATATATGGTTGGCACATTTGTTTAATTAAATTTAGGTTAATATAAAAGAACTTGTTTTTAACCAGAACATAACTGACAGCGTTATGGATACTAGTATTGAACAACTGTGTTTATCTTCAGTGTTTCCTAGATTGAATCTAAAATAATTTTTCGATACGGAGAGAAGAGATTTTCCATTGAGAGGTATGTTTATAACCAGTCAACAACAACAAGAAACGAACATGGTCGTTATGTTTTGCTAAAATCAGCATATGATAATGTGATGGACGAAAATCTTGACCTCGTTCATATGGAAGAAACTGTACCATATGAAAAAATATCCAAAAGAAGAYTTTTATCTTTTTACCTTCCACATCATGGGGTAATAAGACTAGACAAAATTAGAAGGAAAGTACGAGTGGTGTTCAATGCCTCAAAGTGTGAGAGCTCAGGCAAATCTCTCAATGACGTATTATACACAGCGCCAACATTACAACCTGATCTCATGTTGCTAGTACCAAATTGGCGCATGTTTAAATACGTTTTTAGCGGGAATGTTGAGAAAATTTTTTGGCAAATTCTGGTACATGAACATGACCAAGATTTCCAACGCATAGTCTTCCGCAATTCAATTAATAGTCCAATTAGCGACTATAAACTTAAAACAGTTACCTTTGGCATCAACTGCGCGCCCCATTTAGCCATTAGGACATTACAGAAAGTTGCAAAACACAAATTTGCCTTTAGCAACTGCTGTGTGGGAAACTCAAAGATATCTGGATTACATTCTATGAGTTAGCCACTGTATACCATTAGCGTGCGAATCATTATCTCAACTGATCAAAGCACTAAATTCAGCATGTTCTCCCCTAAAGAAAATAACATCAAATAATCCAAAGGAGCTCCCATTCTGAACATACCTGAGCCATGTGTGGAGTCGCTATCCTTATTAAACAGATGGGAGACAATGGAAGGAAGACTATATAAAGGACCTTCACAAGAGATGCCGGTGGAAAACTCAAGAAAAGGAACCAAAAACGGAATGACATAAGAAAACTTCATTACGGTTCCGACGGTCACGTTCGAGTAGTTGATATCCGCTCCCAAACCAGAACGCTAACCAGACTGGTCGTCAAATTATGCTAACAACAAACCGCTCAAGATAAAGAAAGAAGATTTATGGTTCTATGCGCGTTGACCACGGCGAATATCGGTAGTAGGACCTTGTGGCATTTACTACAGTGGCCATATAAAGGAGCGAAAGTGTGGTTTGGGATTCGTGGTGGGAGAGAGACTCCGTCGCCGAGTACTATGATTCACGCCGGTGAATGAACATCTAGCCCCAATGCGCATCAAAGCGAGGTTTTTCAACATATCGCTGATTTGCGCCCACGCCCCGACGGAAGAGAAGGATGATGTGACCAAGGATGAATTTTATGAGTGCTTGAAAAGCACTTATGAGAGATGCCCCCGCCACGATGTCAAAATCGTGCTTGGCGACTTTAACGCCAGGGTGGGCAAGAAGGTACCTTTGGCACTACTGTCGGTAAATTCAGAATCCACGAGGAAACATCCCCAAATGGATTGAGGCTGATCGACTTCGCCGGGGCACGAAATATGGTTATCTGTAGTACTAGATTCCAGCATAAGAAGATACATCAAGCTACCTGGCTGTTTCCGGATCGAAGAACCACCAACCAGATCGATCATGTTGTGATAGACGGCAGATACGTCTCCAGTGTTTTAGATGTGCCTGCGCTCCGAGGTCCTAACATCGACCTTGACCACTATCTTAATGCACCCAAAATTCGYACCCGCCTCTGTGCAGCAAAAAGCGCCCGCCATCAAACACAAGGAAGGTTCGACGTCCAAAAGCTGCAATCACAACAGACAGCCGAACGATTTGCTACTCTGCTGGCACTCCT